GGGGCGGTGAAGCCTGGGCAGGGGGTGAGAATGGAAGCCGGGGTCTGTGCTCCTAACTGCTAGTGCCGGTACGTGAGCCACAGAAGTGACTGCCAGGCAGACCCAAGATGGCAGAGGGAGTGTTCCTGGAACCTAGGCCTAACCTCCTGGTCTGAGCACCTCCCAAACCTGACGCACAGAAGGACATCTCAGTGTCTGAGTCCTCTGAGGGCAGGCAGGGGACAGGGACAAACCTGGGCTCCACAGAGGTAGAGAAGCGTGCTGGTCTTGTCCACCTTCCCACCCCCCTACCTCCCAGGGGCGCACCTGGGCCTCCGCCAGCATGACGTCCTGGATGATGGGTGGGCCGCGGGGCTCGCCGTTCTCTAGCCGCACATAGGTGACCTGGTAGCCGCGGATCTGGCCATGCTGCTTGCTGGGGACGGGCAGCTTCCAAGAGACATGCACAGCCGTGGAATTCAGTGGCTCCACCTCTACCTTCCGTGGTGGCCCACTGGGCACTGGGGACCAGGAAGAGAATAGAGTCAGGCCTGGTGGAATGGACCTTGGTTCGGGGGGGGGGGGGGGGTGCACAGCACGCTCCAGGGCCTTGCCTTTGCACTCCACTGCCCCAGGAATGGCCCTGGTATGGTTTCTGTACACTGTCCCTGCTGAGAACAGGGAGGGCTCCCTCTGCCTAGCACAAGGAAGGCCTGCCCACCCCTCTGGCCCGGAGCTACCTCACTTGGTGGGGAGAGTAGGGGTGAGGCACAAGGCCTTTGGCCACCCTAAAGTCAGCACAACCTGTCCCATCTTCTTCTGGGCCCCCTACATCATGCCAATGTCTGGCCAAGAACAAGTCTCGTTGATTCTACTCTGAGCGTCTCTTGCACCAGTCTTTCCAATCCCCACCTCCCAGATCTTAGGTGGGGGCTGCTTCCTCTGTCTTAGCCTTGCAAGGCCCCAGCTGCCTTGGAGCTAGCCCCACAGGCTGCGATTTGGGCACAGGCCATCCCATCAGCTGCATTTCCCCAGTGTGGGCTACTAAGCCTGCACCAGGAAGGACTTGCCTTCCTGGCTTGCGTGAGGCAAAGGCCCTGGGGGTGCGAGGTGCATGGTGTCTGGGAGGGGTGCCTCCCCTCCCCCGCCCCTCCCCTCGGCACCACTGCCTACCGTCCTCGTCTGTGCGCACTAGCACTGGGCTGCTCTCCGGGCCGGGGCCTACGTCTGTGTGCGCCCGCACCCACACCCGGTACTCCGTCCACTTCTCCAGGCCCACCAGGTCCCAGCTGGAGTGCTCGCGACCGATGCTCTCCACCACATGCCGCCCTCGGTCCTCGCCGTCCACTGCCTCGTAGGCCACCGAGTACTGGGTGATGACACCGTTGCGGCTGGCGGCCGGCGGCGGGACCCAACTTACCCGGACTGTGGTGGAGCCCGTGCTCACACAGGTCACCTTCTGGGGAGGGGCAGAGGGGGCTGGGGAAGACAAATGGGGGGAAGCAGGCAGATGGAGGGTGGGGGTCGCAGGCACAGTGACTGGTCACAGAGGATGGAAAACTCACCCAGGCGGGCTACTTCCTGAGCGCAGAATGGCTATCCCAGGGCCCCCCCTAGGCAGGCCATCACCACCGCCGCCAGCCAGCCCGGCTCCCTCTGGCCCACAGGCTCTACACACGCACACGCACGCGCACGGGGCCTCCCACACATACATATGGTGTCTTTCACACATATGGGGTCTAACAGCACCTCACACACACAAGGTCTCTCCCACACATAAGAACTGTCTCGCGTAAAACACACACCCTGCCGCATACACACAGATACGGGTCATGACTCCCAGACCCCTCGCCCCTGGTCACACACACAACCACGCATGGAGAACCTCCCGCTGCTGGGCCCATAGCTCTCGTCGGAACTAGCAGCCCCAGTCTTCTGGCACAAGGTCGCTGTGACCTGTGCCTACTTGGACAGGGTGCCTGTGCGTGAGCCACAAGCAGCCACAGAGGCCAGAGGCCAGATGGGAAAGAGGCCAATGGCCCTGGCTAATTTGGAGAAAATGCACCCCATGGAGGTGCTCTCACTCAACGAGTTCCTTGGGGTTAGAACTGTGCCCCCCTCGTTCCCAGCGATGTTTCCAAGCCTTGTCCTCATTGAGGAACCTGGTGCTATTACACGGCTTCCTCGCCATCTCGAGTTCTGCCCCCACCCCTTACCAGAGTGACTTCAGCAGTCTCCCTCCCCGGCCCCGGAGCGCCTCATCTCCAGGGCTTTCTCCCCGGCCCTGCTGTGGCCAGGCCCTAGATATTGCCACGACTCAGAATGGCCCTACTCCCCAAACCGGGGCCTCCAACATCCCCTTGCAGACCCTCACCTTGTCCCAGCGCAGCTGCTCAAGGTCCCCAGCACTGTGCTGGCTCTTCACCCCCCTGGGGGCCTCCACCCACGGACCTACCATCCTTACCACCCTCGATATTGGGCTTTGACCCCGAAGTCCTGTACCTCACCACTCGACACATACCCCCAACTCCCCACCTACTTCTCTTCCCACACTCCTGCCCAGCCTGTGCCAAGCCCTGGATGGAGCCAATCCTCTGCCCTCTTCAAGGCAGTGCTGTCAGCTGCCCTGGAAGGCTGGCATCCTATGAGCACGTCCCCAGTGGCCTCACCTGGGCCTTGCCTGCAGCCCGCGGCCTCTGTTCTCTGCCCAGCTCCCTCCGCCGCAGCTCCTTCCGCCGCTGCACACAGAGCGCTTTCAACCTCCTCCACGCTCCGCTAACCTCCAGCTCTCAGCACACAACTGTCTCCCACTTTGCAGAGAAAACTGAAGCCTCCCACCAGCAGCTCCCTCCATCTCTCGCTACCAAACCCACCGAACAACTGCAATCTCACTGAGCCATCCCTTGCTTCCCACGAGGAGGGAGGTGTGCCCTGCCATCTAAGGTGGAGCTCTCCCATCCACGCTCTGTCCCTGAGTCCCCAAAATCCTTCTCTTTCCCGAATTTTCAACTTCTCCATGTGGGCTCATTCCTAGTTAACATTTAAACATGCTTGAATTTTCCTATCTTAAAAGACAAAACCCATCCTCAGGCCCACAGCACCCTTCCTCCCGCTGCAGCGGTCCCCTCCCTCCAGCTAGTCCTCACAGCCCTCGTCCCAGGCCCCACCCCCAGGTACCCGACGCCGCGGAGGACGCAGCGGATACTCCTGGGTTCCTCTGGCCCTGACGGCTCGGCAGCAGCATCTCGTCTGCTCCTTCAAACTCTCTTCTTCCAACCTCCAAGACGCTCTCCTCTCCGGGATTTCCTGCTGTCTTTGGTCATCCTCCTCAAGGTCTCCCAGCTCTAACCCAGCATGGCCGCTCGCACAGCACAGGGCCTCCCTGGCTGGGGTGCCTGCTTCGGTCCCACTTCCAACCCTCTTCCCAGGTCTACACACCAGAAGCACAGAATTCGCACGACGCTCCCCTTTCCCTCAGCATCCCAAAGCCAGTCCGCCACCAGGTCCCGGGGAGCTGGCACCCCAGACGGCTCTCTAATCTACCGCCACCCTGAGCTGAGCTGCCACTTCTGGCTTCGACTACCGCCCGGCCTCCTCGCCGGTGTCTGGCATGCTGCTGCGCTGTCCCGCATGTTCTCGCCCAGCGGCCAGCCAGCCCTCCCACCTGTCCCCTCAACCTGCGGCCAGCTGCTTCAGCCACACTGGCCCCCTGCCCACAACTAAGTGCCTTCCCGCTTTGCACCTGCTGACCTCCTGCCCGGGGCCTGTGTCCCCCCCAAGGAAGCCCCCCCCGCCTGGCCCCCTCAGACCAGACGAAGCTCCCACCCCGTCATCTCTCCACTGTCTGTCCCCTCCACAGCACTTTACCCAAATGTAATTAAAAGCTCATTTGGGTAATTGCAGGTTTAATATCTTTCTGCCCCACCAGACGAGGATCCCTGCAGGCAGAGGCCAAGCCCGGGTCATGCTGCCAGGCCTGCACCGTGCATGGGCCCCGCAGGAGCGCAGCAGGTGCTTGTAGGATGAACCCGGGCACACTAGGTCACGCGTGGCCTCCCCTCATCACTGGCACACTCACACCCAGTCCCATGTCACATGGACCGCCTCACAGACACTGCTGTGTTTAAGGCTGTCACATGTGCTCACTGCCCCGTGCCGTGGCCCCCACGGTGAGGACACAGAGCCTCGCGGCCACTCAATCACTGCGGCACACCAGACACTCACTCCTACAGATGCGGCACCGCCAGGTGGTCGGACGGGGTCGCACGCGGCCTGGTGGCGTCCGTTCCCCGTACACAGGAACGTATACGGAAACACAGTTAACACACAAAGCCACAAGGCAGTCACGCAAACGGGCTGGCGGGCAGCCTCACACGCAGAAGGCCGCGCGCTCCTAAGGCAGGCACGTAGACCTTCTCACAGACGTGTCCCTACGTGCGGCTGGCTCAGTGTGAGATGACACAGCTCACATACTCTTCTCATGGTGGGGGGGTCATGAGGCAGGGAATGTAGGTGATAGGGGAGATGAGATGTGGGGATATGGAGAGGGGAGGACAGCTGCCAAAGCGGGGACATGTCTGAGACACGGCAAGCATGGCCGTCCCACCGCTGAGAGTGGCCTAGTCAGCTAGTGTGACCAGCACAGACGGGGGAGGGGGATGAGTCACAGACACAGAACTTACCTGGGGGGGCTGGGGAAGGGAGGGGCAGAAGTCGGGTGGGGAGCAGCGTGGCCAACAGCTGCCTGGACGCGGACCGGCGGGAACTTACCTGTCCCTCTCTCAGGGTCCGGAGCCGGAGCCCAGACCAGAGTCCAGGCCAGGGCACAGCAGACCTGACCACCCCCCTGGCCAAGGGGGAAGGGTGTGTGTGTCTGAGTCCCAGCCCAGCTGTAAGCAGGCAGGAGCCTCAGGAGACACTTACTGGACTGTGCCGTGCGGGCCTCAATGGTGGGGGTGGAGACGCCCACCCCCATCTCGGAACGGGCGGCCAGCTGGAAGTGGTACAGTGTGTCAGGCTTCAGGTCCTCTAGGGTGTAGGAGGAGGTGGGATCGAAGGTCACCTTGTGCTGGAAGAGCAGGGAGCACTCACTGACTGCTCTGACCTCACAGGTCACTCAGAGGCTGTTCCCCAACATGGGCTGCAGCTGACCCCTCTGGACCCACTGTGGCTCCAGGGCTGGCTCCATGTCACACGGCCACCTGGACTGCACAGGGGACACGGCGCAGCCCAGGCCACGGACACCTCGCTGACTACACAGCCATGAACACCTGAGACAAGGGCCTCCGGTGGGGAATCTGAGGGCTCTGCTAGTGCCATGTGAGCCACAGAGCCGAAGAGACCCAAGGACAGACCTGAGGACTCTGCCCCCAGCACAGGGGTGACAAGGACTACAGATCATACTGGCCACGTGAGCCCCAGGGCCCCAGGGAGAAGCCTGGGGCCTGTGTCCGTACAACCACAAAATCCAGAAAGCCTGCCGGGGTGAGCCCACCACAGACAGAGGGGCCCTCCTTCTCTTGTCCCCGCCGAGCACTCACCTGCTGGCCTTCATCCTCTGCTGCCCAGTACACCAGTTCATACTTGACGATCCGCTCCTGCGGGGGCAGCAGCCATGAGAGCTGGATCCTGGTGTCCGACTCCGCCTCCGCCTGGAAGTCCGCCGGCTGGGCAGGCACTGCAACACCCCCACGCCAGGCGCCGTGAGCCTCCCCAGTTCCCCTCGAGGGCAGGGGTGCCCAGAGAAGGAGGCAGGGGAAGACGCCCCCGCACCCCTGCCCTGCATCCCAGGCGACCACACCCGTGGGGAATACAGGCCCTCCTCCTCCCGCAGCCCCCGAGCCCACGGCCTGAGGGCAGGGGCCCCGCCATGGCCTTGCCCGCCCCGGCTCCGCTGCCGCCGCCCAGCTGGTGTGCCGCCCGCACCTACCTCCCTGCTGCGTCTTGACCTGGATGGTGGGGCTGGGAGGGCCGTCGCCCACGGCCGTGAAGGCCAGCACGCGCAGGCTGTAGGTGATACCAGGCAGCAGGCTGCCCACGGTGGTGAGAAGCCCCGCATCTGTGTTGTGCTTGTGCCAGGCGCTCAGGGGGCGGCGGGAGTCGGGCGTGTAGTAGACGCGGTAGCCTCGCACCAGGCCGTTGGGCTCCTCGGGCGGCTCCCACTGCACCAGCATGGTGCTGGCGCTCAGCATGCGTGCCTGCACGCGGCGCGGGGGGCTGGAGGGCGCCTGCTCCCCCGTGCGGGCCCGCACCGCCTCGCTGGGCGCTCCTCGGCCAATGCTGTTCACCGCCAGCACGCGGAAGGCGTACTCCGAGAAAGGGCTGAGGCCGCCAATGCTGTAGCGGGTGGTGGCTACGCCATCCACCTCCTGGAAGGGCCCCTCCGCACCTGCCGCACGGTACTGGATGCCATAGTAGGACACAGGCTCGGAGTTCCCAGAGTCCCAGGTCAGGGTGACGCTGGTGGCAGTCGTCTCTGTCACCACGAGGTCAATCGGAGGTTTCGGCAGAGCTGGGAACAAAGTGGGAGGCTCAGAGCTGCCTGAGGTCATGACCCCAGGAGCCAACCCTGCCCTTGGTGTTACCCAACCAGAGTGTGGTTGACCTCCACAGCCCACCTTGAAGAATGGCCCGGAAAGCTCTAGGTGACCTCTAAGAGCACCACCTAGTGGGGGATGGTGACACTTGTCAGTGCCCCCAGGGGCCTTTGGTCATCTAGTGTCTACCTGCACCACTTCCAGAACTCACTGGATCCCCTCCTAATAGACCCAGAGGTGGTATAGCCTGACTGGGTCTCGTGCAGATGGAAGGCGCACAGGCTGGAAGGTGGAGGTCTGCCTCTGGGGCTTGCCTACGCTCACCTGTGGCCACTCACGTATAACTGGGGTTGGTGTCGGGGACAGATGTGCCGGAGAGAACAGCCTGGATTTTAGAGTGATGGGGCTGCTGGCCCTACACACCTGTGGCTTGGCTCAAATTGAAGGTGGAGAAGTCCCAGATCCACAGCCAACCACTTAACAAGTAAGTACCAAGTGCCTACTAAGTGCTGGGCACTGCGCTGGGGCTGAGGACACAGGTCGCACAGTTGGGTCATATGCCTGCCTGCTCTCGTTTACATTCTAGGGTGAGTGGAAAGCGCCGAGTCCATAATCATGACTCTGGGGCAGGCAAAGAGAGCGGCAAGCAGGATGCTGAGCTGGGGCAAATCCACGAAGCCCTCACAGGGCTGAGACCTGGACAGTGAGAGGGCCAGCATGGCGAGGGCGCCGTGAAGGCCCGGCGGAACTGAGCTGAGCCAGTAGGGCCAGGCGAGGGAGTGAAGATCCCGGTCTTTACCCTAAAAGCAATGGGAAGTCACTAGAGAGCCGTTTCTCAAAACAGAGCGGTGAGATCCTGCTTTACATCTTCAAAAGATCATCCTGGTTGCAGAACGGAGGATGGCTCTGAGCGGGGAGGAGTGCGCGTGCCTATCCCAGGGCTCAGGCGGAGAGCCCACGTCCCCATGGCCATTCTTTCACCACATCCTTGCCAGGAGGCTGGTAAACCTGAGGGTCTGGTGCCATGTGTAGTGGCTAGGGGGCCGTGCTGAGGCATCAGACCCCCAAGGGTTCAAGTCCCTGCTCTGTCATTTACTCCCACATGACCCTGCACCTCCGTTTCCTCATCTATACAAGGGGGACGAGAATGTCTACCTCCCAGGGTAGACACAGACTGAACAAAGTGATCTGTGCTTGCCACCACGGCATCTGCCCCCAGGACGTCAGGACCTGTTGGCTATGATTATGAACACCAAGAATTACAGAAACCCCTCTCTCCACCACTGAGGGCCAGCAGGACCCCAGGGGGCACCCAGAAGAGGGCAATGACCCTTCGACCTCACCCACCCCCACAACAGCCGCGCTCACCTGCTACGGGTGCTGGGACCTCCTGGTGCCCTCCACAACGGGGCAGGCCACAGGCCACGACAGGCACGCGTCTGGCACTCACCTTTCACTGTGACCTGGGCTGTGGCCTCGATCATGCCTAGAGAGGAGATGGCCACGCAGGTGTAATTGGCAGAGCGCACGACATTGCTGAGCTCCAGCACATTGCGGCCGACCGGCATCTCATCCTCCTTGGTGAGCTCCTCGGCCCCCATCATCCACTTCACGTAGGGCATGGGCGCGCCCACCGCAACACAAGTCAGGTTCACGCTGCCACCGGGCATCACCTCCTGGCTGCTGGGAGGGATGGAGAAACGAGGAGCCACACGGCGCACTGTGGGAGGAGGGAGAGAGACACTCACAGGCCGGGCAAGACACTCAAGAGGATGGAAGGGCAGGGGCCCCTCATCCAGCCCCTCTTGTCAGAGCCGAACCCACCTCAGAGACAGATGGGGCGGAGTCCCTGGGCCCCGGCTTACCACCTCCCATCCTGCTTTTGGGCTAGGAGTAGCCCCCACGCTCAGAGACTGGAACACGAGAGATTCCACAATCAAGCTCCCATTTTACAGCCTAGGAAACTGAGGCCTAGGAAAGTCCTGCTGTCCGCCCAGGGTCACACAGGGACTCAGTGCAAGGTTCAGGCCTCAGGTCTACACTGCGGGCCTCGTCGGGGCCACATTCCAGGTTGCCTTCCAGTGCTTGTCCCTACCTGCTCCTGCCCCTGCCCCCACCGTGGGTCTCCAGAGGGGCTAACTGGGGCACCAGTGGGAGAAGCCCAGGCACTGAAGGGTGGAGGACCTCAGAGCATGGCTGGGGCAGGGCAGAGGGGCAAGCCAGGAGTGACACGGCCACCTTCTCTGCAGTCACTGCCTCCACCTCCCGGCCATGATCCGAGGGAAGAGATGATCTCAGCCATGCTCCAGGCATAGCCTGGGAACCCAAGGGGAAGGGCCGCCCCTCAGAAGGGGCTGGGCAGGGGCAAGGGATCAGGGTGGGCCAGGGACGTGGTCCGCGGGCAGGATGGGCATGACGATGGCAGTAACATGATGAGGGCGCCGAACAAACGGCTTTCTGCGTCAATGAACAAGGGTCTCAAGGGGGAGGGTGGCTGTGCCTGGCCATGACCTCTGGCCTTGGGCTTCCCAGGCCAGAAGCTGTTCTGAGCTTCCCAGGCCAACGTGCAGCCTGGAACCCCCCAAAGTTGCAAGCTTGGCACAAACATTCGGAACATGCAGAGGGAGGGCAGTCAGGCAAGACCTAGCCGTGGGCAGGCATGCTTGGCGTGCTGACGGGTCATGCAGCTGGTGGGCCGAGGCTGAGGTGTGTCCTTCACAGGCACCCTACAGACAGGGCTGGAGAGGTCAGGCAGCGAGGCTACGTGACCAAAAGGCACCACTGAGAGTGCGTGTGGGTCTCCGAGGACCCATGCTGGGGAGCCTGGCATGCAGAGGACCCGAGCCATCACATCAGGGGCCCCTCCACTAGAGGTTCCAGACTCTGCTGCTCGGATAGCCTCAGACCACAGAATCAGAGCCGGAAAGAACTACAGAAACCGCCCGGTCCGACTCTGACCTCGCTGCACTGGGGTCAGGCTGTGGCCCAGAGACTAGATATCCAACGAATCACCAGGTCCTGTTAACGGATGGCCCAAGGTGTCTTTCAAACCCACTAATTTCTTTTCAAACCCAGAGGCTACTGCCCCCACCAGAGCCTCAGCCACCTCCGTCTCTCTTGGCACCGCTGTATTAGCAGCTCTCTTCCAGAACCGGCCCTCCACCAACAGCTAGTACAAGTCTGTTCACATCACCTCTCTGTTAAAAACCCCTGCATGGTTCCCTCAGTGATTCCTCAGGCCACACGACTGGACCCCACCTCACTACGCCCCTGCCTCAACTGTCCACACTGCCTCAGTCCAAGGCCTCCGGACAGAACCCCCACGCAAGCCATGTGTGACTGACATCATGAGCTGAGTCCCCTCTGTGCCCCCAGGCCCACTGGGGTCTCAGTGTGTCTCGTGGACATCTAGTGTTCTACCTTACAGAACCGGCCTCCTCCTTTTCTTTAGGGGAACCACCTCTTCCCTCTGTCCTTGCTATGTGGGCCATGTGACCCAGATCTGGCCAAAAAGATACAGCCTTTAGACTTTTGCAAAAACCATTAGAACAACAACTTTCTCTCTGTACTGCAGTGCCCAACTTTAAAGGAACTGAGGACCACCTTTCATAACACATGGGAGAACACGCTGGAGAACAAAGAAGTCAACTGTAGAGAGCAGAGCTAAGAGACAAACACAAAAGCTTGATCAAACTGTTTAAATATCTGGATCCAGCCCTCCCTGACACCAAATCTACTTCTACATATTTTAGTTTGATAAGATAAGAATCTCCTTGTTCTGCTTAAGCTGATTAAGTAGGTTTCTGTCACTTGTCCCAAAGCTGGGAGTCCCCACGGAATGATGACAGCATGTCATCATCGGCAGAGACTTCTGCATGGCAGACAATAGGTGGATCCCGGGCATGGCTGGCGGGGGGGGACCCACGACAAAGAGCACCCTTTGAGCACTCCCTCAAATGGCACAAGAGTGAGACCAGGAGGCATGGACATTAGCATCACCCAGCCTGGTGCTGCGGGCCCTCCCCGAGCTCTGGAGCTGGGCCTGGGGGGCGGGCCGTGGGAGGAGAGGCCTAGGCAGGCAGGTCCGTCTGCTGACCAGGCCCAGGCCTGCTGACGAAGGGAGGGGTCCAGCACGGCCCTGGTTGGAGCAGGAAGGCACAGGGGCACAGCCTTAACTGGTCTTTATTCTCAGCCAGGGGTGGCCCATCTGCTCTCTGTTCACAGGCATCAGAACAAGCTCGGGAAGGGAAACCACTCTTGAGCTCCTACTCAGGGTGAGGAAAGTTCCCTTGCTATAGATCCCATCACCTCCAGACTGCAGACAAGGGGACGGACTTAAGACTCGAAACTTTTAAGTGACATGCCCAAGTTACGTATTATCAGGAGGTCGTCAGTGTGATGAAAAGCTCACACTCTTTTGAGGTCTGGCTGATAGGTAGATAGGCTGATAGGCACGATCTCCCACAGCTTAGGCTCATCCTCCCTGCAGCGTGAGCGAGGTTAGGGTATGTCTATGGAGGGAGGGTGGGGGCAAGAAAGGTAAGACACAACCTCCAAGGATCCCGAGAGCCAGTGGGGCCCTGCATCCTGGACCTGCCTGGACAGTCACCCCCATCCTGATGGCCGGGCGTGGCTGGTGCCTCCCCACAGCAGTCCTGCCGCCACTCCTCCCGCTGTCCCAGACACGAGGCCTCCAAAAGGGGCAAGACTTGCCCTGGACCCGGTCTATTGATGGAAGCAGCAGCAGGGAAGAAAAAACCAGAGCCAGGAAAAACGCACTCAGGGTCTAATCTTGGGCTCCAACAATGCCAGTCTATTACTGTTCCCCGTGCATCCTTGCTGCTGACATTTTATAGACAATTTCCAGAACAGCGCTCTGCCATTTCTGGATTATATTTCAACTGTAACTTTTAAGTCTAATTATTTGCACTGACAAGCCCGTATAATAGGGCGGTGTGGTGCCCGAAGGCATCGGCATTCAGTGGAGTGACAGCCTAATTGCAGGGGGAGGGTGGCCCCGCAATCTGCATTCACTTGCAGGAATTTCTCTGATGAAAATAACACAACATTAAGGAGGGGATAAGGGGCAGGATCCACTGTATCAAGATAAAATAACTCTTTAATAAATAACCTTGTGGCTGCCGCAGAGCAGTAATTAAATGCCGGCGCACTCGGCACACAGTTTTAAGTAAAGCTGGAAAAATGTAAGATGTAATTATCAGCGCCAAACAAATTACCAGCCCGGCAAATCCCCCTGGAATATTTAGAAACTCATTTCTGCCTTCCCGTTAAATATTTGTGCACGTGCTTTATTTTTGGTGGGACCACAGAGGGGGAAAAGGGGAAGGGACCAGGGACCAGGGCGGTCGGGGGACGGCGAGGACGGGGAGGTGGCTGAGGGCTGGGCTGTCTCTGCTGATGACTGCTTTCTGAACGCCCCGGCAGATCCGCCCGGTCAGCGAAATGGTGTAACCTAAATGCCCCAGAGCTCAGGAGTGCATATGGATGGATGCTCAGGGCTGATATCTGAGCTGAGGCTGCAGCCCTTCTCCCAACTGGCTCCCTTCTCCCTCCCTTCTCCCAACTGGCTCCAGGCTACGGAGATACAATGCAGAGGGGAGCAGGTGGCCCAAGTCTGCTCCCTGGGGCTGAGCCCAAAGCCCAGCGGACAAGTGAATCTCCTCTGACCACTCAGACCATGTGACACAAGAATGACCGTTAGCCCCTGCTGCCAGCCCCAAGACTAGGGGTAGCGGTCTGGCCCTGAGGGTGGGGCTGAGAACCGAGTCCCACATGAGAATGCTCTGGAGCGGGCTAGAGCAGGGTCTCCGGGGAGCCCTTCCCAACCTGTGACCGGGCTGGGGCCTCCTCTGGGCTCCCATGTGGGCCTCACTAAGTTACAGTCAACTGTCCAGTCTGGTGGGAGCTCCCCGAATGTGAACGCTCAGCACCCAGCACAGGCCTGAGGAAACGGGAGCGGGCTCGGGGGGCCTGGGGCAGGTGGGAAGATCTTCATTTGGCTCTGGTCAGGGAGGGAAGAGACAAGAGTGTAGGAGATTTCCTCCATGCTTAAGATGATGCCGGCCACCTGTGCCACGGACACCAAGCTTCGTGAGGCAGATTGGGGCTGGCCGCCCCACTGAGCTTGGTGGGGACCTCAAGGTCGGGGCAGACCTGTGGGACTTTTGTCCTGTGCTGTAGGACCTTGAGGTGTGAGCTCAGGCTAGATTAGCCTTTTCCCTGGGTCTTCCCAGTGGCTGCAGCTGAGCCGGGGCAAAGGTGGAGTTTAGGGGATGAGGTTGTGGAAGGAAGGCCCCACAGGCACGCGGGCAAAGGTGGAGTTTAGGGGATGAGGTTGTGGAAGGA